GATTGAAGAAGATACCAGAATCTAAGTCTGGGGACTTTTATCCCGAATCCTAAGTAGGGATAAGTCAGTGCCTAACACGCTTTGTCGGTTAGTCTTTGACAATAAAAAGGATAAAAACCCACATATTCGATATTGTGGCAGGTTGTTATTCATAACACCAAAATCCGTTCTTCACACGCGCGTGGAATTTTATCCCGAATCCTAAGAAGGGATAAGTCAATGCCTAACACGCGTTACCGGTTTAGTCTTTCACCGATTGAAAAAGACACCAAAATCCAAGTCTGAGGACTTTTATCCCGAAGCATAAGTAGGGATAAGTCAGTGCCTAACATGTGTTGTCGGGTAGTCTATTCTCATAAAAAAGACGAAGTCTACGTATTCAATATCGTAGCATTAAAAGAGTTAACTCTTTTAGCACAATGTTACATGCAGAACAAACTTAAATAATCTGCATGCTAGCCCGACTCAAACGTTAGTCGGTAAAGACTCATCAAACCTGTTGATGACTGAGGGTTTGCCAAAAATCCTATAAATGTGAGTGTTATTGACGCACCAGCTCCGTTAGTTGGTCTCGTGACTTAAGAATCGGATAATTTCAAGATAAGATCCATACATATAGATGAATCAGTTTTAACAGTTGGTCTTACAGCCCCAGCATTTGGGATCGTCATGCTCCAATGCCTTAAGAGCTTAAACTGTGTGTACTCCAGCAAACATTTGAGTATAAACTGTGTTAACACCGGGCGATCCGAAATCCTAAGGTCAATGTCGGTCAATGCATAACCCTAGGTCAACACCAGTTAATGTGTTGTGATAAAAAAGTCAACGTCGGGCGATCCGAAACCCTAAGGTCAATGCCGGTCAACGCGTAACCCTAGGTCAACGTCGGTCAATGCATAACCCTAGGTCAATGCCGGTTAACGCTTAACCTTAGGTCAACACCGGTCAATACGTAACCTTAGGTCAACGACAATCAACGCGTTGCGATGAAAAGTCAACGCCGGGCGATCCGGAACCCTAAAGTCAACGATGTTCAACACGTAGCCCTAAGTCAATGTATTATGACAGAGATAGTCAGTTCTAAGTCAATTCGATGACATGAGCCAAAATTAACTCACCAATTTTTGACCCAAGACTTCGGCGATGGCCAAACGATAAACGCAGCGCCGGAACTTTTAGCTATTCGTTTAAATATTGAATAGACTAAAAATTAAAGGAGTCAAGAGTCAGAGCTAACTACAGGTCCTTTTACACCGACTGAAGGTTGGACCGATCACAGCCAAAGTATTTCAGGATCCTCTATAAAAGAAACGAGACTAAAACACTTTGGAGGGGGTACCTGTAAGCGTAAAAAATTACCTATAGGTCCCCACACACGGCTCGAGATAAAGAGAAGACAACGAATGTCACTATCTAAGTCACAAAAGCTTATTTGATGTCGACAAGCGCATGAAGTAAGTCGACAGACCGTGTGAAGCAACGGAACTTCAGAATAACCAAACACGAACTGATAGGGAGCTACGCGTCACTTACAAAAGATGAAGCACCCCTCGTGTCCCATCTACTTCATATGTTATTCAACCATGGGAGGTTATAGATCTCCTTGTTATCTTTCTAACGCATCTTGAACCACATAATTTCGAGTTTGGACGATGAAGATATGACGAAAACGGACAAAACGCAAGAAACCAAGTTCAGGCCAAAGTTTGGCCGAGATACCAAATGGTGTCTCGGCCAAACCTTGGCCGAAACACCCACGGGTGTTCGCAGCCCAAAAATACTATTTTTGGCAGATTTAAGCTGTTTTTCGATCGTTAATCGTCTGGATTTATTCCAACTGATAAAATATCATCCAAGAGCGTGGTTAAGTGATTATGACTGAAGATAAGAGTGAATTGGTCATTCATATCTAAAAACATGGCCCCTGAAGCCTATAAATTCAGCCCCAGGGCCTTCATTTTTTTAGATCTGGAATTCCCGAGTGAAGCACTGCTGAACTGAAGACTGAAGGAGCATGAATTTCAGAAGAGAGGAGGAGATCGGATCGAGTTCATCGGCATAAAGAAGAGGAGCTCGTCAGATCTACACTTCCCAGTCCTTTGCCTTGAGATTGCCCCGTTGCGGTGATCTCGAGAAGAGTGATTATCTCGCTGTTACCGAGATAATTGCTTCGGCTTCCTGATTCTTTCGCAAATCAACGAAGCGCCGGATCTGATCTCATTGTTTGGTGGTCCACGGACATCAACGTCCCCGTTATAGGCCAAGATCTCACGCAAGTAGTAGGCGATAAACACCAGTTGTGCTGTTTGACGAGAGTTGTACTTTCTTTTGTTTTCATTGTATAATGGTCTTATAAAAAGACTAACTTTTGTTTTTATTGTAATGTTTGAAGTTGTAATGAACACTGCAATGAATACATCAACTTTCTCCCCAAGCAATTGTGACTTTTGTGACTTGTGCTTTAGTTTTGGTTTCCGAACATGACCTAATACCAAGCCCATAATCAAATTAAAAATGACTCGATTTTGTTATACCAGTCAATATTTTTGAAGAAAAAATCCATAAAAAATATAAAACCATAAATATTATTAAGATAAAGTATTTAACCTTTGATATCGATCGATAGAGCGATATATTGGCCAATATTTCATATATTGCCTATAAGAGCAATATTTAAAGGTAATTTAGATATCATTTCATTGATTTTAAATATCTAATAATTCTACATTATTCCGTTAAAATTTAAAATTGCTTATAATTTAGGTACTAATATAGAATTATAAAATATTTGAGCTAAATTTAAAAGAATAATTAATTCTTTGAAAACTCTCTCAAGTATGGGGAATGTCATAAAAAAAACCACTCAACTAATTTAATTTGACAGAGCCTCCTAACTATAGGGGTGTTGTAGATAACCCCTCTTAACTTTGGTATGATTTTAGAAAATACTCTTCGACTTAGCGTGTCTTATAAAAACTCTCCTGATCTTTTACACATCTCTTAACAAACCTCATTAATGTAAAAGACTTTAATAAGAGATTTTGTCAAAATGCCCTATTAAAGAAAATAATTTTAGTTTAAAGAAACTCCCAACCGATAATAAAATGATTACGACCAATTTACAATTCTTTTTACCTCTAAATCTTTACTTTTTATTTCATCTAGCAAAAAATCAAGCCAATTCTTTTATGGTTGAGGGATATTTTGGTCGTTCCAAGTCAAGTGCTTATCACATAATAAATTTGACTCAATGATATTAGTTTTGTGGGGTTAATTGAGAAAAGTTAAAATTAACCCTTAAACAAAGCACAATTTAAGACACATGTGATATCAATCTTATAAGAGTGGATTTTATAGCAAGTCTATTAGTATCTCTAAATATCTTTTGCTACAAAATTCGCAGAAAGAAATTTAATTTTTATTTGGGATGACTATGTGATCCTTATGATTCTCCTTATCTTTTATGATTTGTAATAAATTATTTAACAAAATAAATTAAGTTGTTCATTTTATATGTCTCACCTTTATGAAGCATATAGTTTGGATATGAGTGTTATTAGATTCTTTTAACTCTTTAGCTTAAATTTTTGGATATTATTCAATATTGGATAGATCTATATTATTTTGTTAAAATACGATCCATATGTGTACAAAATATGTTTAAATCATCTCAAATTATATTTTATAGTTTTTTAAAAATTAGAGTGTAATCATTTTGATAAATTAATTAATTAGTTGAGAAGATGTAGGAAGATTATAATATCAGATTTTAGAATTGATCACATAATTTATATTTTCTTTATTGATTGAATTTGCACAGTCTAACTTTGAAAATTATATAAAAAAGTTTTTGAATATCTATAATACTCGGTCGCTAGATAATAGAAAGTGGAAGTAGACAATAGGCGCGAGTGATTTATTTATAATTAAACAAAATACTCTATGACTAGATAAACCTATCATTTTACGTCGATGAATTCAAGATTTATTTTTCATTAATAATAATAGTTTTTTAGATATTGGTGCTTACATAATTAACATTTTAAAATTATAATTCCAAATCATTAAATTGCTCTTAGATCATTAATATTTTAAGACTTTAAACCTCACTAATTATGCGTAAGGTACAGTTTTGAAACTAACAAAATTTTATATATTGAAATATCTGAAACTTTTTGATATATTATGATAATCATAAACTTTTTTTGCAACTATATTATAGTAAATACATAAACTAAAAATCAACAATTATAATATTTGACCACGTGCATTGCACGTGCATTCCACCTAGTTACATTAACTATATATGGATAGTTACCTATCTATCCTCACTTTCCAGACCTAAATTTCACTTCTCCCTTTTCCAGTTCTCGCTTCAACTTCTTAGAAA